ATTTTCTTCTTTTTTCAAGTATTTCTGAATTAAATCTTCTTGGTGTAATTCTACATATTGATCTTTTTTCAAAATGTACTAATCAGCTTGATGCTAGTGAATTTAGTTTTTGTTGATTTTAACCTGTGATTTGAACTAATGCAGCTTTTGTTTTTTTAAAAGTTCTTTATTCAAGTATTCTTGTTTTTTATAGAAACTTAAACAATATGTTACTTTTTCATATTTTACATCTTTTGGCAAGTTTTAAATCATTAATATTACTGTTAAATTATTTCTTTTCTTGGGTTGTTCATTTTGTTTTTGTTCTTACTTTAGCACCTCTTTTTGTTTTGAGTTTTTTGGTCTGTTTTTGGTAGACTATATGGAGTCACTTATATCTTTAGATGCCTATTTTGATGTATGAATATTTTCATGAAATCTGATTTCTGAATTCTTTCTTTCTTCTACTAATGTGCTCTTTTTTATTCTATTGTTGTGTCTTAGAAGCATTAGTTTTTTTGACTCTTCTGTCTCTGGATTATGTATATCATATTTTATTATTAACAGTGCTACTTTATTTTCAATATTTGCTTTATCTGTATTTTCAAGTATTTCTTTTTCTGTTTCATTTAAAAAAACCTCTGCTTGTTTGTTAGCTCTATCATCTTTTTTTTTATTAACTATTTCTGTTTCTTCTTCTAAGTGTCTTTGTTTAAGATTGCTTTCTTGAACTATCAATTGTGTTACTGGTACTTCTAGCTTCATTTTGTCTTTATTTTGCTAAAATTTATTTTCTGTAACTTTGTTGTTTAATTTTTTTTCTTTTTTATTATTCAAGCTATTAATTTCTTTTTCTGCTAATATTTCCTCTCTTACAAACATTTTAATACAGTTTCTTCTTTTTACAAATTTGCTAACATAAAGGTCAACTCTTCAAAATTGATACTAGTTATTAACTCAACAGATTCAGATAACTTTATACTCTTTGATAAAGAACAACTAATAGTAATTAACAATAAAAAAAACTATTCAAATATTTGGAAACATGGTTTTCAACTAATAAAAGACCAACATTAGTACAAAAAGAAATAATGACTGAAGTAATAATTAATCTAAAAAAGTTACAATTTGCCAATATAACAGACAAATAATTTATATCATAAATAGTATTATTATTTCATGACTTCTTTATTAATTCTATTCTTTATTTCTTATCTAGCCCAAGCAAACAATCTTAACAAAATGTGTACTTAATTAGTTAAACATAAGACAAAACTAGCTTAAGAAATTTCTAACTTATTTCTATATAATCCAAACATTTATATATTAACAAATATAGCTTAAGCACAACTTTTAGTACTAGTTATAATACTTCAAAAAAATCCAAACTATTCAGATTTTGACTTCTTCTTTTTGAAACTACATCTACAACTATTACAAGATATTGCATTTACTAATACTTTTATTCTAATACAATCTTCAATTTTTTTAATAACTTAAACAAATACACAAACTGGTCAAATGGTATCAGTGTTATATGTTTTGAACATGCAAACTTTAAAAGATATTAATGATTGGCTCTATCCAAAAAAATTCATAAATACTTCTATAAATCAAATACTAATGCAACATTTTAGAGCCTTCTATTTAAAAGAAAAACTAAACAGATACAATATTTATTGCATTAAGCAATTTCTAAATATCACCAACACAGAACTATTAATATGAAACTAATTTCATCATAACATTAAAAAAATACCAAAAGGCCAGTGTCTACATTGGTTTCATATAATACAAAACTTAATAACTATATTTACAAATTCATTCTCAATATATTTATAATACAACCCACATATCTTGACAAATTGAACTCCTTTAAAAAAGACTGGATAATCACAATAACTTAACTTTCAGAAGAATTCATAATCTATTTAATAAGAGACTTAAAACTTAATATTATATACTATTATTTGACAATACACTAGTAGTCTATAAAGAATGCAAATTGAGCAATACATCTTATTATACCAAATATTGCTACTTCAATGCAACAAAACCTATCTATAACCTTTAAGTAGACTGCAAAAAAAGAATTCATATTAATTTAAAAGACTTTAAAAAAGCTTTAATACTAATTTCATCAACAATGTCAAGAACTTATAACTAAATAGTATACTTAATTTTGGCCTATTCTCTATGCTTCTTTATAAACCTACTAATAACACTTTGGAATGACCTTATAAAGGCCAACTTTAATACAAAAACTACAATGATCCATATAACAAATAGATGACAAAACATCAAAAATATCTCTTAAATAGTAGCAAAGTGTTACTTTTAACACTTTTATTTAATTTTTAGATGTTTTAACAACTTCTGGCCATCCCATCTGAACATACTAATAATTACATTAAATTTTTATACTTACTTTATTAAGTCCCTACATTTCAATAAATATATATACTAATAATTTTTTTTTAGTTAATTTTGTCAACTTTACAAATTTAATCTAATTATATAATTATCTAATACTAGACAAACAACAATACATTTTTCTTCTTCTAACTCTAAAAGCCTTGATATACAATCATATATTCACAATAATCTTTGACAAAGTCTTCAAATTCAAAAACTCCAAGCATTATTTTTCTACTAGACTCTATATCTTAAAAGTTTCTATATAATTGGTTTGTTTCAAAATTTTTAAGAAATCTTTGCACTTATCTAATAAAAACTATACTGAAACAAGTACATCAAATTACAAACCATTTGATATAGTTTAACTAACAACAAATCACACTATAATATACTCATCAGAATAATATTAATTAGTTATTAACTCTACAATATATATTATATAAAGAAAAACTTCTAGCTTTAATAACTGATCCAATCTTATCAGCAATTAAAAACTTCAAAATCAAACTAATATCTAAAGAACTACCTACTTATCTTCTTTGTCATTAGAGAAATGTCACAAAACATCCAAATTATTTTTGTACAAGATGTCATAATATATCAGAAACTATTACACATCTTTTAACATATTTTAGAAACAATTCAGATCTCAAAATACTAATAAAATATATATTAATTAATACTGCAAACAAGTTGAAATTATGCTGTGATAATACAAGAAAATTTATTTAAGCCTTTACTTACAACTATATTAATAAAAAATACCACTGAGAATAATAACAAATAATACTTTAGTACTATTTAAAAAAATAAACATAAACATAAATATGCATCTTTTATTTATTATAATATCATTTCAGCAATATACAAAAAAACCTGACTCACTTCTAGAGCAATACAACATAAATCTGCTATTCCAATCTCACCTTTGATACAACTACTAACTCTAATTAAAACTATACCAATTTTATGTCTTATATTAAATAAAAAGATTTAATTTTATGTTATGCATAGATAATCTTCTCTTTATCAGCTTATCAAAGACTAGAGGTTTATTGACTATTCTAGCAAAGAATAGGTTGAGAGTAAAGTAGCTCTTACCTTTATCTCCCTTAGTAAGTTTTTTTTATCATATATCTTACATATATGTATAATTAACTAATTAATAAAAGAAATAAAAGATAGACTTTCTTTAAAAAAAAAATAATAACCTTATTGATTTTTTAACTTTATTAATATTTTTTAAATAATATAATTATATAAAACTATGATAAAAAGAATGTATAACTGACTATATATAATTTTTCTATATTATCTATTTAAAAGTTTGCTCAAAAGTTCTTTACTAATTATTATACTTATTATTTTTGCTTAGATGTTTTATTTTAAACCTTCTAATCTTGTATCTTTATAATAATTTTATTGTTATATTCAGATTTTTTATCTAAATTTTAGAAATATTTTATTTTTGAAATAAATCTTTTAGAATCTTTTGTATTTCTATTTATAGCTAATTTAGTATTATTATAATTAGAACTAATACTTGTAATTAGTATTAACCATTAAACTGCTATAACTTTATAGAGTTTATACAATTTCAATACTTTTTTTTATAACATCAACAATGTTTTGTTTATTCTTATAAGCTCTTTTATACTACTAATTCAATAAACTTTATATAATATAACTTTATTCTTAAATCAACTAATAACCAAATTGGTAAATCTTTTTTACAAATAATTATATTTATGTATTTTACTTAAAAATTTAATAATAATTTCACTATATATAAAAATTAATTTTACTAATTATAGAAAACTAATTTTAGTAAACTAATTATTAAAATAATTATTATTAAAAAAATTAATTTAAATACTTATATATAAATAATAATTTAAATATTTGTTATTAAGAGATGTAATAACTTAATAAAGTAGATAAGTTATTAACCTTCAAGTAACAGATTATAAGTTCAAAAACCTACTAACAATAAAATTTAGATTTTTACTTATATTATAACAACTGTTTTCAATAATTGGGTTAAGATATCTGTAATTATAATTATACTAGTATGACTGGCAAATTATAGAGCATTTTGCAACTAGTTAGACAAAAGAATGCAGACTGGCATCAGATAGCACAAATCTAAGATAAATTTTTATAGCTATATAAATATAATTAAGTTGTATACGTATAATATTACCGAAGGTCCGTAGAATGAATGTAAATTCGTATAATTTTATGTACTGTAAATTTATGTAGTTATTATTTATTTACTTTGTATGAAAAATTCGTGATGAAATAATTACATAAAATAAAATAATTTTTACATGTAAAAAAATTTTTAACTCTTTCTATGACGAACTGTTCATTATAGGAAATTACTATGTTTTTTTAAGGACTCATGGCACTTCCATATCGAACTATTATGAAATTTTAAAATTCTGAGTTAGTTCTATCCAGAGCTCATACATAGAGATTCATTATATCCAAACTCGACTGTATAAATAGCTTGTATAATAATAAAATAAATAAATATTACCTTCACTAGTATTTTTTTAATTCATTAGCTTGATCGTTTGTAATTGTCGGTTACCCACTGATCAATCGTGGTTACCCACCAGTTGAGCACCCAGATGAAGATGATGACCGGTTGATCCATGGTTCAACCACCGTGTGACCCGAGTGACATTCTTCTGGACGATTTCAATCACTAATCGCACTATTGCAGTGGGTAACAAGATGACAATAAATGGTTTCTCCAATAAATCAAATGTCAAAATATTATAAACAAAATCCTTTCGAATATCTTGATAATCAAATTCTCGGTGAATAAAGCTGGTACCTAAGATAAATTCAAGATAATCAATTCGTTGTGGCAGTAAAATTTTTCAAATATCAATCTGATAATCATAACATCATTACGTATTTGAACATCAGCATGCTTTTTGATTACTTCCATATCCATAACCATACGACGTTTACACGGATAGAGCTCCACGGTT